CATACTGGTGCAAAGGGGAAGAAATATAACCAGGTCGACTCCATAAATATCTCACTTGTCAAGAAAAACCGATGAAAAGGTAACTTATCAATCTCAAATATATAGAATATGGTTATATCTATAGAAGAAGATATTTTCCGCATAGATTTATTTGAGACAAACAGAATGGTTAATGAGCAGAAATGATCAACTATAACTGGCAGACAGTCCCAAATGAGTAGCACCATCTAATATTAAAAATTCATGTACGCTCAAATATACACACAATGGCGACATTTGACGTTGTGGCCAATTTACGGACAAGTGAAAAAATTGAACCGCATATTGGACATGAAAAAATATTTTTTTGAGAAAGTTATGTCACAATTTGCACGGTTTTTGTTGACAATTTCCATGGGCTAGGGATTATTCAGCAAATATGTTTTGTTATGCCAAGAACAAACTAAAGAAAAATATTGAAACCAAAGATGCACGAATGAACCACGTTCCCGCCTAAGGAAATACAATAGACTACAAACATTCCACAAATAAAGACTCAAGTTTTATATATAAACAGAATATCTTGTGCACCTATATCTAGCGCAAGTCTAAAGTAAACGGTCATACTAAAAAGTATCTACTTTTCTCAATGTAAGACATAAACAGCCTCATAAAAAAAAAGAGACGAGTCGCTTTATCTAAGATAGAAGGGCACATTGCATCAAATGTTTACACTAGGAATTGAAATGATCTTATTGCATATTCATTTACCTCATATCCAGCACCCATCAAAATAACACCCAGATCTTGAATGGATGCATGTGGAAGAGAATCACAAAACTCTTGTTTATTAATAGCCTCGACAGAGTGGATGAAAGACCATCTGCCAGCATATAAAATTTAATTTTAATAAAAAATAAATAAATTTAATGAATGGAATGTTCAGGCCGCTCCAGAAGTAACAAACCTTCTAGCAACTTTAACAATAGGGATCTGAGTAGTGTATGTGCAAGACATGAGTGATGCTGCGAGAAGAGCCAACATGCCTAAGAAAATAGGGGATGTAAACATGTGGTCAAAACCAAGGCTAAGCACCCATCTCCAAGTTACAAACCAAAATAAAGGATTTTCCTCTGGAAACTTGTCGAGATAGAAATCATGTGCCTCCCCTTGATCAATTGCAGTAGCTATGAACATATGAAGGAAAACAAGGTATTAGATTAATAATAAGTAGCGGATAGCACATTCTAAAGTACTATGGTCATTTATAACAACTATGTTTTATCTCTGAGGACTAAATTGTACAACAGTAGCTTGACATAACCCTTGCGAAGCTTATAAATTCAAGAAAAAAAAGTAAGCACTTATAAATATAGAACTACTAGATTATTTTTTATTTTTTTGTAGCTTACATTTTTAGTCCAGTAACAACTTTACCTAACACCATGCTTATATAAAAGTTGATGAGAAAACCGAAGTAATACGCCTTATGCATCATATGGATGTAGAGAATCCAATAATTCTCTACAGCATATTTGTTCACAATGATATTATTTTAAGTCTGAACTTTAGACAGCTAATAAATCAGGATGATTCACAAATATTTCCACCATGCTTTCAAATTATAGCTTTGAATCTTTTGATTTTCTTTTAATTTTGTCATAGAATAATTGGCTTTGACAACTTAGCTCTTGCATGGCTTTTTTTTCTTTTTTTCCTTTTTTTTTTTTTGTTACTGTTTCAAGAAATCAAAACATGTTTGTATAGTTAAAAATAGAACCAAGAGGTGGCTGACGGTGGCATTCATCACACATAAGGTTTTACATGATTATTTAATATCACATAATGCATTAAAATTTTGCCCATCAAACTTAATTAAATATGTATTAATAATTTAATATTATTTAAAATTTTAATTTAATAGTTATAATTATAACAAGAACACTGTCATTGTTGGGTCCCGAATCCTAAATGCAAAAGGTGAATGGTTGTTGTTAGGTAGTCGACAGCCATAGAAAAATTTTTGTATTTAAATCACCATGTCAATGCTAGGGTGTCCCTAAAAATGATGTATTGTATGAATTGAATGCAGAAAAAAATAAGCAGAGGTCATTGCATCTGTGTGCCGGTGTAGTTTTAAATAAGCAAAAATTTTCACATTATGGACGATGCAGAGAAAAAAGTTAGTTGAAACTAATATTAAGACGAAAACTAGAAATATGTGTACTCTCAAAGGTAAATTAATGAAATTAGTAAATATTATGGCTCTTAGAAAGATAAATATCTCACGCATTCAAGAAACCATTCAAGAAAATAAATGAGTTGGAAAAAAATGCTAAGGAGATTAATAGCTTAAGGCTTTAAACATTTATAGTGCGGTAAAAGTCAAAGTAAGAGTCATATTTGAAATAGTATCGAATAATTATAGATAAGAGTTGGAAAAAATAATGTCATAAAAATTAATAAAAGTAGAGATAGAATTATAGCTTTAAAGATTTTTGTTGACACTAAGATTCTTAGTATTATAAATTTTTGTGTCCCCTGAGTATGCTTGGATATGTGTCTAAAAGAAAAAATTTCAAATAACCTAGAATTATTAATATAAATTATACATTTTGAAGAAAGAATTTTTATTGAAGAAGATTTAAATAGGCATGTCGACAGAGTGAGAGAAGCTTTTAAAGGAATTCATGCTGGTTATAGTTTTGGACTAACTAATGAATAAGGTAGAACCATAGTGGATTTTTTTTAACTTATAATTTTATTTTTGCTAATATTTTATTTAAGAAAATAGAAGAACATGTTATCATTTATAACAATCAAACCAAGAAAACATAAATTAATTATTTTTTTATGACAGAGATAGATTGCAGAGATTGTAGAGATTGTAAAGATTATAAAGCCATTTTAAGTTAAAATTTAAGTACCCAACATCCATTATTAGATTTAAATTTTTTAATAAAAGATTAAAAAATAAAAATTTAAGGAAATATTGTCATTAAATTAGATGAGCGCACTCAAAATACAAATAAAATTATTTTTATAAGTAAGCATCAAGATCTTAAGATTTGAGATGTTTATGAAAATATTAATAATATGCGAGATAAAATAATGAGTACTATGAAAAATATTATAAAATATGTGCTTGGAGAATCAAATGGAAAAATTTTTAAAAATAAAAATAGTTAGTAGTGGATTAATAATTTGCCATAAAAGATCAAAAATAAAATATTATTATAAAAATTAGTTTAAATGTGAGAATTGAAACAAAATAAGGCAACCCATAGGGTCTGTAACAGAACAATTTGTGATGCTGGGAATTCTAGTTTTAGTGATATTTATAACATAATAGATATTAAAGACGGTGAAATATATATGTGAAAATTAGTTAAACAACGAGATAAGAAAAGTATAAATTTAGTTCATGAAAAATATATTAAGCATGAAAATCAAAATTTATTTTCTTTTATGAAGATATTCAACATAAATCGTGAGATGAAAATTGAGAAAATAAAATCGACTTTAGTAATTTTAATATCATAAATAATAACATGTTCTTAATTTCTACAGCCATATTAATAAAATAAAAGTTAAAAAGTCTTTAAAGAAAATGAAGTATGGAAAACAGTAGGACCTTATGGTATTCCAATAAAAGTGTGAAAATATTTAAAAGATGTGAAGGTTTTTGCCTTACTAAACTTTTTAATTTTATTTTAAAAACTAAAAAGAAGTATAATGAGTATAAAAAAGAGTATATTTGTTCTTATACTTAAGAACAAAGATGATGCATAAGAGTGCACAAATTATATAAGAATTAAGTTAATGCGTCACATATTAAAGTTACGGGAGAGAGTAATTGAACATAAATTACGACGTAATACAAAAATTTCTCAAAACTAATATGAATTTAGGATAGGCATGTCTACTATGAAAAATATATATTTATTAAGAGGTTTGATAGAAAAGTATAAAGAGAATGAGGAAGATGAACTTATATTTTTGTTGATTTAGACAAAGCTTATTATAAGGTTCCAAGAGAAGTAATTTGAACAGTTCTAGAAAAGAAAGGTGTTGATATTGATTATATTCAAGTCATTAAAGATATGAATAGTAGAGTCATTACTTGTGTTCGAACACAAGAATAATTGATTATGTATTTTCTTATTTCAGTTGGATTGCATCAGGGATCGGCTTTAAACCCACATACTTTTGCTTTAGTTGTGGATGTTCTTACTAGACATTTATAGAAGGATGTAACTTGGTGTATGCTTTTCGTTAATGATATCCTTCTTGTGAATAAGCCTAGAGAGTTAAAAACATAAGCTTAAATTATAGAGGCCAACCTTAGAGTCTAAAGGCTTTTGTTTGAGTAGATGTAATAATTGAATAACATGGAATGTAATTTTAATAGTAATAGATCTAGTGGCGGGGTTGTAACTATGAATGATCGCCACTAAAAGGAGTGAACGTTTAGATATCTCGGGATTATTGTTCAAAGTGATGGTGATATAGATGGCGATGTTATTAATTGAATTCAAGTTGGATGGTTGAAGTGGAGAAATGCATCGAGCCTATTGTGTGATAGAAAAATACCGCTCAAACAAAAAGAAAAAAAATTATAAGATGGTGGTGAGACCTATAATATTTTATGACGCAGAATTTCGGCCTGTAAAAGAGAAGTTAAGCATTGTTGAGGTAAGAATGCTCAGATGGATGAGTGGTTTTACAATTAGACAAAATGTGTAATGAATATATTCGTGAAAGGGTTGGAGCAGCTCTAGTGGCAGACAAGATTAGAGAAAAACCTTAGATGATCTGGTCGCATTAAACATCGATCAAATAATGACTCAATTAAGAGAGAAGATGTTTTAGATTTGTCTTATGTTAAGAAAGGTGGTGAAAGACTTGGACATGTTGAATAAAAATGATATTAATTTATTAGAATTAAATAAAAATAAGACACTCAACAAGACATAATAGAGGAAAAGGATTCATGTAGCAGGCCCCACTTAGTGAGATAATGGCTTGTTATTGTTATAAACATTTTTATAGTCATTTTTAAGAAATTAAAAAGATAAAAATTTTAAAATTAAATACCCGCTACCCTTTGATTTTCTATTTCGTCGCCCTTATTAAATTTTGATTTTACCATTCTTATTATTTTTTATTATTTTTTTATTTTTACCAATTAGATAATTAATTTTAGCTTTAGCTTCAATTTTTTTTTTTTTTTAACTTTTTTAAAGGTTAAGAAACTAGACCAGATTCACACTTCAAGTTAGCTAAAGTTGTCAGATATATACAAAATATAGTTTGTTAGTTTCAATAGTAAAAAGATTTATTTAGAATTTAAACATAACATGTCAGGTACATACCAACTCTAAACTTTGTTGCGGTACTTGAATTAGACCGACCAAATCTACTGGGAATTAACAAAATTAATATGCTTCCGATGAAACATAAAACCTTAGTTTTATAATAAAATGCAGTATTAACAAAGATAAAATAAAAGCTGAAACTAATCAATTACTTTGAGTTGTTTCACAACTTCATCGAAAAAAAATTTGTATGTTGATGCAATTTTGAAGATGAGCAACAAACTTGAAATGACAATATTGCTACTTATGATATAACAGTTGACATCAACTTTTTTATGTCTTTTGCGTATGACACATTTTTGGTGTTATGGGACCATATTCTCTAATAAACTTGTTCTTATGACTTAAAACGTCGACGAAAATCACTCTGACGTGTTTGGGCTCAAATTGTCTTGATTGTCAATAAAATTATCTAGGCGACCTCAGATGACAAGAAAGACCGCATGAGTGTGTATGGAACATTGACATTGCTTAGGGAGGACACCCATATTGATATGATTTTGTGCACGAACCAATAACGAGTAAATTGAGACTTTTAAATAATAAAATTAAAAAAATAAAAAAGGCAATATAAAAAAAGAGCATAGGGCATGATGCCCTATAGGAGGATGAACGCAAGCCATAATCCGGCGCCTATCCGCGACGGAGGCCTCCTCTCGCCGACAGCCCCGTCTAACCGCAGCCCCCCCCCCCA